CGAGGAAGGCGTCCAGCGCCCCCGCTCGGAATGCGTACGCAGCTGTCCCCAGGGTGCACGCGGGGCACCTGAACCCCCAACAGCACACTAGCCAGAGCCCCGCTAGTGGGGATCTGCAACCTTGGAGAACCGTGGTCCTCAACCGGTTCCACCTCACCAAGGTGTCCGTGTATTGAAGGTCTAGTCCATAACCATCCAGGTGCCGTTAAACCCAAGCCCGCCCTAGAGCTTGTCAAGGCGTTAGAAACAGCCTGACCGTAGCATAGCCAGACATACACACATTTGTTCTCTTTTTACATATGTTCTCCCTTCTCTCTAGATACAGGGCGGGGCAAAAGTAGGTTTACAGTTGTTCCTATGGAAAATAATACAATAATTAATAAAACATAATACAAGAATAAACTCTGTTTTGCATACTCACAAATGTAAACCTATGTTTGCCCAACCCTGTGTATATTCTCTAAATATATACACACACATACTTTTTCCTAATAAGTAGACAGACTAAGTATATACACCTGTTTCTATATGTATGTACATATAAATATATATACACATACTTTTTCTTTATACATACATAGGTAGATAGACTATATACACCTCTATATGTGTGTGTGTATATACACACAGCCTATGTGTGCATACATATATTTAAATAAATATAATGTAATACTTATCTATGTTTACCCATCAGGCTTGTGCTGTCATTCTTATTGATTGGATAATGCCCCAGTCTGTGGCTATAACATTATTTCTCAAAAGGTTACTGGACAATACTGGACGTTTACTCATTTTCAAAGTCTTATTCGCTTATCTGGCAATGCTCGCCAGTGGCCCTGTGCCCGGCTCTGGTCAGCCTGGGCTCTGCACTGTCAACAGAACATACCTGCCCCCGGGGACAAGGTGTGGATTGGAGGTGGAAAGTGAACAGGTAACTCCACAGCCCTAGCCTGTGGACGGAAGGGTCTGGGTTCGATTCCAGTCAAGGGCAGACCTCAGTTGCAGGTTCCTCCCTGGCCCCGGCCCTGGTGTAGCAGGCTCCTGCAGGAGGCAACCAATTGATATGATTCTCTTACATCAGTATTTCTCTCTTTCCCTCTCTTCCACTCTCTCTAAATATCAATGGAAAAATATCCTCTGATGAGGATTAAAAAAAAAAAAGTAACTCCAGCCCTAACCGGTTTGGCTCAGTGGATAGAGCGTGGGCCTGCAGACTGAAAGGTCCCAGGTTCAATTCTGGTCAAGGGCATGTACCCAGTGGGAGGTGTGCAGGAGGCAGCTGATTGATGTTTCTAACTCTCTATCCCTTCCTCTCTGTAAAAAATCAATTAAAAAAAAAAATATATATATATATATATATATATATAATTTTTATTTTTTATTTTTTATTTTTTTAAAGAGAGTAACTCCACAAAAGTTGAGTTGGTCACAAAGGGACTGTGCCCTGCAGCGATGGCGGTGGCGAGAGGCTGCGGCCAGAAGGCAGGAGGCTCCTGGGCCTGGGGAGCAGCTGCCGCGTCACTTAGGGAAGGGCTTCCTGTGTGGCTGTATCTCTCTATCGGGGCTGAGGGCTGCAGCTGGGCACACAGCGCCTTGTGGGACCAGGTGAGTATCCACCAACTTGGAGTCAGGGTGCAGGTGGGCCGCGGGGGTGGAGCAGAGCGGCCTTTTCCACACTGAGCAGCCTGTGCCTGGGAGCCCTGGGAGCCCCTGTCCCCTCAGGGGCTGCCACCGACCGCCCAGAGGGAGCTCTCGGAGTCCTGGGGGAGTTAACGATGTGCAGCCTCTCAAAGCTGTCCTCGGAGCACCAAGTCAACTGTCAGACGCCGGAGCTCCAGTTCCAGGGGCGGCATGTGCGGCGTGCGCTCAGTCCAGTGCAGGTAACCAGCCGAGAGCCAGGCCTGCCCGCCGCCTTGAGCATAACTGATTCTGAAATACTGTCTTTTTCTGAGCCCACTGGGTACGTCCACATACACCAGGTTCTTCACCCAATTCTTAGCAATGACCCCACATCGGCCAGTCCCTCTGAGTCTCCAAACGGGACCAGGTGCTGTGGGGCAGGGGCCCAGCACAAAACGCAATTCATAAACTGTTCATAATTTCAAAGACAGTGACAGCTGAGCCTCCAACCTGTCAGCCGGCCCTCATGCTTTGAAGGCTGTCTCCTAAAGAGAAGCTAAATTGGAGGAAGTAACCCTGGGCCGTCCATGGAAGCACCGAGCTACCTGGGGACGGCCTCCATGGACTTGTCTTAGAGGGGTGGGCTCTGATGAAGCTGGGGTGTCCGGTGCCCTGAGACCCACCAGGTGAGACCCAATTGTGCCAGGACTGCACTGGGCTGAGGAGAGGGCCGGACCCAGCAACAGAGGATTTCACGGTGAGGCTGCACTGGGGGAGTGTGGACACTGACGGGCAGGGAGCCCGTGGCATCTGGGTTGCCCTGGTCAGCTCCCCAACATGCACCCCACTGCCACGATCCCCACTATGCCATTCCCACTGGCCTCTGCAACCTTCACCCAGCCTGGTTCACTCTGGGGGTGGGAGCAGGGCTCAGCAGTGCTGGGATCTCAGGTGGGCAGGGGAGGGCTCCCCACTCCACTCCCTCCTCCCAGCTCTGGGTGAGTGAACCTGTGGCTGCTCCCTCCCAATCCTCCTGTCTGGACCCATTAGGGGCAAAAATAGAATATTGGGGACTAGCTATGGTTATGGGAAATATTAATCATGCTTTGTTAACCACGACTGCCTTGTGTTGGTTAAAGGAAGGACATTCTGACCTGGCTGGGAGTTGTATCCCGCCCCCCTCCCCCCACCCCCGCCCTCCGATGTAGGAGACAACCTTGGACCTTCCAGTCAACCTTGGACCTGCCAGTCAACTTTGGAATGTGGTCCATTCTCATTCAAGAGCTGCCTTTTATCATGGAAAGATTAACAATCTTGTTGTCCAAACAATGGAGTCCCACATTGCCTGCATACCCATGCCGGAAATCCTTACTTTCCCATACCTGCAATCCCTACTTCCCCAAGTAATACTTGTCCTACCCCATATACCAGTAAGGAGCTGGCTTATGGGGGCTGCAGAGCAGGTTTTTGTGGATGACCTGCTGCTCTCCCATGCTGCCGGCAATATTGGAATAAATGCTTATACATGATTCAACCCTGTCTCCGCTTAATTGGCTCAAGTAGTGACAGGCAGCACGGACCCATTGGTTGTCTAGTTTCAGTCCTTCCCTTCTCTGTGTCTCTCCTTGTCCAGGATCCAGCCTCCACGCTGGGACACTCCCAGTGCATTCACGGCTCCTTCGTCCGCTCCTGCTCCTGGCATTGCTGTCCCATTGCTGTCTGTCCCATTGCTGCCTGGCCTGGCCTGGCCCAGCCTGGAACAGCTGCTCAACCAAGAGGTATGGGGCACTTACCCTACGCTGGTGGGAGTCAGGCCCCCTCCAGGGCTAAACAGACCCTAAACATGAGCTGTCCTAGGGGGGCCTGCCCCTCCCTTGTCCCACCCTGCAGGTGCCGCCTAAGGAGCCCGTGTACAGGCAGAGAGTCCCAGAGGGGCTGTGAGCCCGCCAGACCCCAGAGAGGCTGAGGGCTGAGTCTTGACTGGGACCCCTATTCCTGCTTCACTCCCTGCCTGGGCCTCCCTGGGTGGGAACAAAGCCATGTCCCAAGTCAGCACAAGTCCCAGCTTTGCTGCCCACTCACAGGGAGGCCTGTGGCTGCTTCCCTTCCTCCCAGGCCTCTGACCCCCATCTGGGCCTTCTGTCATGGGTTCCTGCGGGTGAGGGAGCTATGACAGCCCTGCCATCCCCTCCCACCAACACTGACCCAACAGCTGTGCCAGGCCCTGGGACATGGCCAAGAACCAGGAGGGCCCCAGGACCCCCAGCTGAAGTTCTGGGAGACAGACACAGCTAGGAAAGAAGCCGACCAATCCAGAAGCCGGCTTCAGACCGTGGCAGTTGCCATGAGGAAAATGAGGGCAGAGGGGCTGGACGCTCCATCAGGGAGCCTTCCGAAGCCACCTGGTCCTTTAGGGCCCCTGCTCTGAGGCTCCTGGAGCTCAGTCCCCACTCCTGCCCTGGCCCCACCCTCCCCAGGGCTTCCTCCCAGAAACCTGGAGCCTGCTGTATTTGCCTGCCTGCTGCCCAGCTTGGCTAGGCCTACCCCACTGACCTTCCCTATCATTCATTTACTGCGTGGCCTAAGGATTGAGGTGGGGCTCTCACATGACTTGTTTACAGCTGGGTGTGACTCAGTGAAGTGTGCCCCAGTCACACGACCTCCGATTTGTTGCACAGATACACTGGCATGCTCTGCCCTCTGACCCCAGTCCTGCCTCTGTATCATAGCAGATACCCCACGTGAGGCCACCTTCCTCTTGTACGTGGTCCATCCCCCCACTGGAATTTCCCCCTGGGACCCCAAGGCTGGAAAAAGGCTCAGTGCATAGAAAATCCACAAGGAAGTTTCTTGAATGAATGAATGATTGAATGAGTGAGTGAGTGAATAACTGAATGCATGAGGTGGCATTGGAGCTGAGCTCTCAATGCTGAGAAAACAGACCGCAAAGCATCAAGGGAAAGAAATCTGAGCAGAGGGAGCAGCCCTGCAAAGGCCCTGGGGTGGATGAGCTTGGCCCCTCAGAAACAGAGGCAAGCAGGAGCGCGGTGGGGGCAGACAGAGGTGGGCGGGACCGGGCCAAACCTGGAACCTGGACTTTCCTCCCGGGCAAAGGCAGCGCCCGAGCGCTCCCAGCAGAGGGCAGAGTGGAGCTGCTCACTGGCATTTCTCTTCCCATTTCTGTGAGTTTCCATCCAGCCAGCTCCACCTACACTTCAGGCACCAGAAACAGGGGTTCAGACCCCCCAACATAAACACACCCCATCCACTGGAGAACATGTTAACCCACACAGACGTGACTTTAATTTCAGGGCACATGATGGCTTGTGCTTACAAAGACGGGTTGTGTTTACAAGCGGCACAGACAATACTTGGAACCTGTCAGTTCCTCTTGGCTCCAACCTGGACAGCTCCAGGGGCGAGGGAGCTTGTCCCTCCGTCCCTCTCAGAGCAGAGTCACCGTGAGCACAAGTAAGTGGACACTCACAAGGATGGGAGGATCTGATCTCACTCGGCCCCTTCCCCTCCATGCTTCCAGGCTTGGCCCTCCGGGTTAGGAGGGGAAGGTGGGCACCTCAGCCAGCGGGCGGGACATGCTCTGGATGGCCCACTGCAGGATGCCATCGAAGGAGTGCTGCAGGACAGAGCAGAACCAGGGCACTGGGACCCGGCCAGAACCCCCAGGAAAGGTATGCCCGCCCCGCCCACATCTGGCCACCTGGGACAGGGGAATGGCTGGAGGTGTTAACCTCCTGTCCAAAGAAGATGAGGCCCCTAAAAGCCACATTTCTTCCCAGCAAATCTAGCTGCTCATCTTCAGGCAGAGAGGCCTGGGTCAGAAAGAGGAGGGAGAGCCACAAACAGCAGAGCTCCTGGGCCCCCACCCGCCCTGGGAAAAGGCACGGCCTCCGAGTCGGGCTTTGGTGGCCCTGTTGCTGGGGTTCTGCAACCCCCCGTGTCTGGGCACCAGGACCTGCAAGCCAGCTAGAAGGGGGAGCAGCTCAGGGTCCCCTTGTTGCATTTGTGTGCTCACGTGCATAGAGGGGTCAGGGCCCTGCTGGAGCATGTTGCCCTGGGGTGCTTGGAGGGCCCAGAGCCGGGACTCCTTGCCCCTCCTGTGACTCGGGTGCTGGCTGGCTTGGGGGTGGGGGTTAGGGGGAGCAGTAAGGACAAGGTGGAGGCCAGGTGATGTGTTACCTCGCTCAGGAGGGACTCCAGGTCATCCCTGTGCAGAACGGGCTCGTGACCAGTAGAATCATCCCCTGCCTGGAACCCAGGAAAGGGAGGTCACCCCAACTTCCACACCCCAGTTAGGGACATCCCCATGGAAGCAGAACTCCCTGCAGAGGCATCAGGGACTGGGGGTGGGTGGCCGGTGCCAGGGCAGTGGAGGCACTGCAGGTGCTGGGGGGGCTGAAAACTGAATTCTAACACCTAGCTCCTCTGGAGGCAGTGGGCACCGGCAGGGTGGACAGGAGTGAGCTGGGAGCTGCCTGCCCCCAGCCCCCAGATGTGCCTGCTCCACACGCCGTGTGGCCCTCTGGGGAATGTGAGGTGACTGAGAGAACCCCATCACTGATGGAAAACTGAAGTCCCGAGAGGAAAGTGCCTGGTCCAAGGCCAGCCAACCATGCCCCTGGGCAAGGAGCCAGAGCAGGGAATGAGGCTCCCGGCCAGGAGGGGAGAGGTCCCTACTACAGTGGAACCAAGTGAAAGTGCTGGGTTTGTAGCTCAGAACAGGAAATACCAGCATTCCACCTGGGTGGGTCTGATAAGCACAGGCCCACAGCCCCGAGGTGTGCGGGAGCTTTCAGGAAATGGTCTGGGGCAAAGCCAGCTGCAACTTTTGACTCCAAAACGGTAGGACATTTTACATCACAATGAAAAGAAACCAGGTCTCAATAAAGGAAGCAGATTCTGGAGGGAGGCATCCCCTCCTGGGAGACCCACCCCCCACGGCTGCCTGGAGGCAGTGAGCTGGCTTGGGCACACCCTGTGCAGACGGGTGGGGACCAGGCAGCTGTGAGCCCTGCCAGGGGGTCCCAAGAGCCTCCTGGGCGGGGCCTGGATGCCTAATGGGCCTGGATGCGGGCAGGACCTCTGGGGCCCCCAAAGATTCCTCCAGGCCAGGGATGTGGTCAGGGAGGCCTCTGCATAGGGCAGCTAGGGCAAGAGGCGCCACCCTCTGGGGGCTCCTGACTGGGGAACACGGGACCCCCCAGATTCTGAGGGAGCCCCAGACGCCTGCTGCTCAACTGCTGGGGCCTTGGCTGCATCTCCTCCTAGACAAAGAGGATGGAGAGAGTGACTTCTCCCCAGGGACTCGTGGCTGCAGGATGGGGCTAGGAAGGGCCCCCACCCAGGGCTGCTGGAGGAGTGGGGTGTGCATGGAAATGGGGTTCTATGGAAAGTTCCTCACAGGACGATCTGACCATAAACTCCTAACCGGGCAGGTCATGGTGGATAGTCAGAGGCATTGAACTTCTTTAGTAAAAGGCTTTTCTTGGCCTTAAACCAACCCATCCATTGTTTCTATGCATCCAGTTAACAAGCCTTTGAAATGTCCCCCTGTCAGACCCCTCCTTCTAAAGCGTGACCCCTCTAGACGGCACACAGTCTTAACTGTCCTGTACTCCCACCCAGGCCTTGCTTTCTGCCACCTCCACCCAACCTTCCCTGTGGTCCCTCCTGAACCTCAGTGCAGAGAAGAAACTGCAAACTTTATTCTGTGGAGCATTTTTCTCAGTCTGTTGAGATCTTGCTTCCAGGCTTATCCTGTTTTGAGCCAGATCAATTTTTATAAAAAGTCTCTACAGCCCTAGCTGGTTTGGCTCAGTAGAGAGAGCATGGGCCTGTGAACTGAAGAGTCCCAGGTTCAAGTCAGGTCAAGGACACATGCCTGGATTGTGGACTGGATCCCCAGTATGGGGCGTGCTTTAAAAAATTTTAAATGCTTTTTTAAAAAATGCTCTAGCCAGGCCCGTGTGGCTCAGTGGTTGAACATCGACCTATAAACCAGGAGCTCAGGGTTCGATTCCCAGTCAGGGCACATGCAGGGGTTTGGGGCTCGACCCCCCCCCCCCCCCGTGGTGAGGGTGCAGGGGGCAGCCCAACCAGGGGTCTCTCTTATCACTGATGTTTTGTTTCTCTCTCATCCCTTGCTGTAAGTGACATCAATAAAAACATATTATTAAAAAATGTTCAGCAAGTTTTGGACTTCCTTTTGGGGGGAGGGGCCGTGCACGGGTGGTTCATCTTCTGTCATCGCGAGCGCATGCTCACCTCACCGTGGGGTCTCCTTTCCGCTAGCCCTCTCGGCCCAAACCAACCCTCAACCCATCCCACCGGGCACTCCCGAGCTGGGGAAGGACACGGGGGTTCAGGGGAGCTCTGGGCACAGACGTGATCCAACCTGGGGCCATTGCTGAGGCGGGCTGCCTTTTCCAATAGATTTAAATTACCAACAAGGAGTCTCTTTAAACAAAACCACTGCATAGAAATAAGGAACACGTGTTGCGGGGTGTGATGAAAACCCGGGAAATTGGCGCCAGAGCTGCCTCTCCAGATGCTCCTCCTCCACCTCTCCACCCCGCGGGCCCCTCCCCCCAGGGGGGCACTCACCTTGGCCGCCCCGGGCGCCGGGCGGGCAGGGCTCGGGGCGGGCGCCGCCTCCCCGGGGGCCGGGCCGGGGTCTCCGGAGCAGGATCTGCAGCGCAGGACGGCTCTGCGCAGAGCGGAGGACAGGCTGCGGGCGGCCCGGGCTCGGCCGGGGGTGGTGGGGTGCAGGAGGGACCCTCGCGGAGCCGCTGGGTGCGCCCCCACCCCCGGGCCATCGCACTCACCCTGGCCGGGCGCCGGCGGGGAAGTGGCAGCGCCAGTGGAAGGCGGCGGCGCAGTGCGCGCACCGCAGCGCGTCCGTGCCGTCCCCGCACACTCCGCACCGCGCGCCGGACGCCGGGCCCTGCGGGGCGGACCGCACCGTGACGGCGGCCCGGAAGGGCGCGCTACCCATCCTGCACCCTCCCCTATCCCAGGGACCCGCCGGGGGTGGGGCGCGCGCAGGGGAGGGGTGGTTTGGGGTCCCAGCCCCCGAGGGAGGGTGCCTGGCTGCAGCCCGGGGAAACCAGGTGCCCCAGCCTCGCTCCTCCTTGGTGGGACTGGGCCCCTAGATAGCTGGCCACAGGCACTCTGAAAGGGCACACAGCCTACTAGGCATAAATAACTGGTTGCATGGGGACTCCCATTAACACAATCTCAGAAGGTTAATAGGACAATTATCTTTTATGACTAGACGTTTCGTCAACAATCTGGATGGTCCATCCTGAGATGGTCCCGTCAGATAGACATGCTAGGGTGTGGGTGTTGGATAGGTATAACTCCCCACCGGCGCCACCAAAGACTTGCTGTC